ATTACCTTTGCCTCGTTTCTTTAGCTCTTTTTGCTTAGACTGCAGGGTTTTACGGGTTTTTTCAAGTGCCAAATCGTTGATAATGCTGACTTGGTAGTTTTTGCGCTTTAAAAATCTTTCAAAGCTAACAATCATGCCTCGGAGGGACGTTGGCTCATAATTTTTTCCCTCTACTGTACGAACGGTAAGTATGAACTCGCTCAGCAGCTCATTGAGCTCAGCTGGAGGAATGTTTTCAACTTCCCTGTGCTCTTTCTTGGATTGAAGAAATACTTTAAGCAATTTTACATCTCTGTTGGTCTTAGCTTGTGTGTTTTTGTTTTCTTGTTCATAGATAAAGTCGTCTACCGTTCCTTCTAAGAGTGCAAATCTCGGCATTTCCTCCGCCATGTTTGTCATTCAAGTGCAAACTCGCGCTCGCTGAGTATCTTTTGATTGATATTTCGGATGCCAAAATGAAGCACAATCGTTCACGCTTCTGATTGGACGAACGAGAGTGAAAAATAGTCGTTCTCTTTTCTGATTGGTTGAATGCATATTTGGTACGAATTTTACGCGGGCTTTTTATCGTGGATAAATCTTAGTACGTATGAAATAAAAGACGTTTATGCACTAGCGTACCAAAAGTGGAAGGTAGCGGTCAAGCGTGAGGGGGTCCAGCCACCTTTTAAAGGCCGTGGTTTACCTGCATAAGGGTATACGAAATCAATTTCTCTTCGAATATGGCAGCAAACACTACTTTGTTAGCCATAAAACGACAACTTACCACTTCAGCCCATTCCAAATAAGTCCTAAACCTTTCTCGATCGATTTCATTAGTCCTTTCACCATTTACGGTCAGTTTAATTTTTCACATACGCTACTCTTTTTTGTGTATATTTTTCCTTACGCACAACACACACACAGGGCGACGTTGTGTTTCTCAGTCGTTTCGTTACACGTAGAATTAAGCTTCTGGCGCTAGACGTTTTGAGACGTGTAGATCGAATACTGACCTCTACCTTGTGTCTTAACTATCCTACGAGCATTCGTATTTTGATACTTATATTATAATCCCCACCACACAATCGCGACGCATGAGCTCATGTTTCGTAACGTTCACTCATAACCTTTCTATTTTCAATTCAACTAATGTACATTCCCGGGGGGGTACTACCACCCCCACTTGGGTAGGGGTGTGCCGCCAGGACCTCAAAACCCTGACCCTATCCCAGACCTAAATTTTCGATTTTACATACCCTACCCCAGACTAAAGCTAAGAATTATACACCCTATCCCAGACTAAACCCGGTTAGTCAATAGATTGCAATCAATATTGAATAACATTTTTATTGTTTTTGTGCCGTCAGAAAGTGTAGCCTATTCGCCAGACAAAAACGACCAAATCGTTAACCCTATCCCAGRCAAAAATGATACCCTATCCCAGACAAAATGTCAAAAAATGATACCCTACCCCAGACCCAAAAGCCGAAAAACCATTCCTTATAGGGCGGCACATACCCGTATAGCAAATATAGGGGAGTACCCCCCCCCCCCCCCCCCCCCCGGGTGTACATTGTACGGTCTACTTAATCATTTACTGAACCATTACTAACTAATTTACAATACATTATTACATACATACATTATTAATACAATATTATTTGTGATTTTCCCGAGGCCATCGACTGAATAACTCCGAAATTAATAGGTTTTTAAAGCAAGATTCCAATTTTTTAATTTGTTCATTAAAAAAAAAAAAACGATTGTATAGTATGCATGCAAACTTTTTGGCAGTGATCGAGATTTTGATTTCAATTTTTTGATTTATCAATGAATCCTAGAAATCAACAAGAACGCTTATAATTATTCCAAAAAGACGTTTCAATGATAAGRACCTCAGCTTAATGACAAGAAATAATTAAAAAATGATTGTCGGTACTGAAATGAATGGTTTTAAGAGGGTTTTTTTAAGAGAAAAATTGATTCAAGGTTTTTCATTTAAATCGACGGGTATGTGATTTGAAGAGAACGGTCTTTGGATGCTCAGGCATGTTCTGCTCAATCAATTGCGTTTAAATAAAATTATCACACTAAATATCTACTACTTACCACTATTTTGCAGCCCTTAGGGTCATTACAGGCCAGCTTTTCTCATTTAGTCTTCGAATTTTTTGGCCGTCCATAAGCAAAACCATCCTTCGTTTACGAGGGTTGTCAGTGAAGCTAAC